AGCATAAAGACAGTTAGTATAAAGACAGTTAGCATAAAGACAGTTAGCATAAAGACAGTTAGCATAAAGACAGTTAACATAAAGACAGTTAACATAAAGACATTTAGCTTAAAAAGACAAAGACAGTTAGCATAAAGACAGTTAGTATAAAGACAGTTAGCATAAAGACAGTTAGCATAAAGACAGTTAGCATAAAGACAGTTAACATAAAGACAGTTAACATAAAGACATTTAGCTTAAAAAGACAAAGACAGTTAGCATAAAGACAGTTAGTATAAAGACAGTTAGCATAAAGACAGTTAGCATAAAGACAGTTAGCATAAAGACAGTTAACATAAAGACAGTTAGCATAAAGACAGTTAACATAAAGACAGTTAGCATAAAGACAGTTAACATAAAGACCGTTAGCATAAAGACAGTTAGCATAAAGACAGTTAGCATAAAGACAGCACAGACATTGTGCAAAAAGGCACCACATGAAAACATTTTCGTCTCTTCAGTTTTATTCAGGATTTATATTTTTAAGTGCGAAACAAACTCCAGATGTTTAACCCCAACAGCTGGAACAGATGTTTAAAGAGAGTAACAACACCCCCCCACACACACACACACAAAGACACACACACACATCTTGATCTACACTTGGAACCAGCTGGCGTCCATAAAGTCCAGACTTTAGTGCATTCCCTCACAAACTGTTCTTTAAAGTCTGAGATGTTCTGGAAAAAATGTCTGTTTTTTACAGAGAGAGCAGAACCACCACCAGTCATAGCGCCATGTTTCATGTAGTGTCAGGAGACACCTGGACCCAGAACTTTCACTTGTTGGTCCTGGACCCAGAACTGGACCCAGTCTACATCTCGTCAGCGTGCGCCGGTTTTGTTGGGTCAGAATGTCTTTTATGAGCCGAGGCTTCAGTGTCTCCAGCTGTCAGATTCCCTGATTGGTTCTCAGCAGGGGGTGTGTCACCATCAGCTGAGTTCTGGGTTGGCTGCTGGAGAACATCGACCGGTTCTGATTGGTTGGGTTCAGACGGCGGCAGCGTAGAGTCAGACCGACTGGCTGGGTTGTCTCTGCTGGACAGCGATGGTTCTGTCAATATGTTTCTGGAAATAACTGGATAGAAAAAAAAATCAACAGAACCACAGAACTTTATTTTAAAAAGAACTCAGAACAGAAACATAAAATCAAAAGCTTCACCTCATGAAACCTGCAGCAAATCATCTACAGGTGCTGGTCATAAAAYTAGAATATCATGAAAAAGTAGATTTATTTCAGTAACTCCATTTAAAAAGTGAAACTTGTATATTATATTCATACATTACATACAAACTCATATATTTCAAATGTTTATTTCGTTTAATTTTGATGATTACAAATG